TCATCTTCTGGAAGACTTCATCTTCTGGAAGCCTTCATCTTCTGGAAGCCTTCATCTTCTGGAAGCTTCATCTTCTGGAAGCCTTCATCTTCTGGAAGAACTCATCTTCTGGAAGCCTTCATCTTCTGGAAGCCTTCATCTTCTGGAAGAACTGATCTTCTGGAAGCCTTCATCTTCTGGAAGAACTGATCTTCTGGAAGCCTTCATCTTCCACCATGAACAACGGCTGCATGTCTGTGATGATCATATTTAAAATGCTGTTTGTGAACTCAGCTGCTGCTCAACCAACATCCTGGAGCTGTTTGTATGAAACTGTCCAACGTACGACTCTGCCATTCACTGAAAAGAAGAAGAATAAAATGATTATCTGCTTGTTATGCCTTAATAAATGTGTACTTCTCTGGATATTATAAAATGATTGAATATTCTTCAGGGGTATTCTACACTTTCTGATGACCTGCTGCGATCAAAGTAACATCAGTGTCGGTTCTCTTTGATTTTATTAAATCAGGTCTCTCTTGTAAATGAGTCCTCGAGGCTCAATGGGATTTACCATCTAAATAAAGGTTGAATGAATTTGTTTTTTATTTATGTGTGAGGTTTGAGGATGATTTAATTAAAACTCTCTGTCACTGAATTATTTTTAACCATCACATAAAAATCTAAATGCTGTAAATAATTTTTATGGATTGTAAAACTGAAGGAATCTTTATGTTAGAAACTGAGTAAGATAGATGATGTAAAGTTTGAGTTCTGCAGACTGTTACTATTTAGTCTTGATTGTTGAGCTATAAACAAATATGACAGTAGTAATAAATGCAGATTAATCCAGTTTTCAGTCATAAACAGCAGCAAGAAGAAAAAAATCCTACTAACTCGTTTAAATACATTTACACTTGAAATATTCACCCTAAATATGTCATTTAAGTCAGGATGGAAGTAGAGCAATAAATAAATGCATCAGTCTGTTGCTGCTTTGATCGTTAACAAACTTTCATCAAGTCCTGCACAGTTTGTTCCTCACACAACGTACAGACTCTGCCAGGAAGCCTCTATGATCAGTCAGTAGATTTAACGTTAGTAAAAATATGCCTCATATCTGTAACAGGACAGATGATCACACATTTAGATTAATGTATTTTACAAAGAGAACATGATACCTGTTAGAGCTGCGGACGAGTTTGATGCTTCAGCGGCTGTTTTCTCTTCAGATGCTGCAACATGGACGACGTGCTGTTCTGGTTACTCCAGTTCTCCAGTGGAAACATTGATTGATTGATTCAGGTCTCTCTTGTAAATGAGTCCTCGAGGCTCAATGGGATTTACCGTCTAAATAAAGGGTGAATGAATTGAGCTGTGTTGTCTTTTCTGTTTAGTCTAACATGTTCTTTTGACAGTTTTTGTTGTTTTCGGGGCTCTTCCTTTAGGCAGTCTCCGTTTCCTCCATAGCTACAAACTTAGCACATACGCGTTAAGAGAAGTGCTAGCATTGTGTAACACAAAAACCTTCCGGCTAGACCACGGTGCTCTGAATAGTTTAACGAAGCTTCGAGGCAGATACATTTGCCTCGAGGATTTTTTTGTAATCGAGGTCCTCGAATGATTCCAGGAATCGTTTCAGCCCTAGTGCTGAGTGTATTCTTAATTTAGAGTATTTCTTAGTTCTTATCTTAGATTCAACACTTGCTCTTGTCAAGGGCGGACGTTTCCTCCCCTCCCTCTCCACTTTGCTTTTGCTCTGTCTGTCTGTGAAACTGCTTTAGATCCTCTCTTCTACAAATTTTCCGAATTATAATTTATAGATTTGGAATTGATCAGTTGGTCCCTCAACACAATTGATAACATTCCTTTGAAGAGAAGACAGGCTTTAGGCAAGCTGATTTGCTCTGTTGGCACGCAGCTGGATATCTCAATGACGTGGAAAACGATGATGTGTCTATCTCTGCTGCCATTTGTGTGTGTAAGGACGCATTTATAATTGGATTTACGATAACTGGTTCCTGCTTTTTGGATTTGGCTGGTTGCTGGTTTTATCTACAATCAAGAAAGTTGTCAGCAGCAAATCTGGACCCGATCACGCTGCATGCCTTATGATGGCTTGGTTCGTGCTTCGAGTACCCAGACTCAAATGCTTTTGGCAGAATGGATCAGATCTCGGAGATTATTCTCAGACACAGTCCATTGGTGTGACCATGTAATTTGGACGTTTTGGCACTGAGTGGACCAACACAGACTCAAGGTAGATGTCATTAAGTTCTGCCTGTCCCCAAAACAACTGTGTGTTTATCTGAATTTGGCTCCCTTGGCTGGCCTTGACAGGCCACCTTATCTTAATTCACCTGGAAGCTCTTGATGCTCATGCCCCCCCCCCCCCTCTCCCCTCCCACCAAGGAAGTCTATGGACCAATCAGAGGGGCCCTGCTGAATAAACATTCTGTCATCATTTCAGTACTCTTTGGTTCTACTCTCTGCTTTGGGTCGGCTGGTTCACCTAGTTTTTGTTCTGAAGCCGGACACCTGTGGGGTTGTGCTTAAGGGTCAGAGATCAAAGGTCGCACATCAGGTTGGGTCATAATGTTGGATTAAACTCCAACATGTTTACTATGAACCTATAAAACATCTGGATAATGATTTCACCCCTCAGCCCGGACCAAATGTGTCGGAGGGAGACGCTGTTTCCTGTGGTCGGAGCTTTAGTCTTGACTAAAAGCTTAACTTCAGCTCGTTTTAGACGAACGTCTGACATCGACTGCAGCTGCTGACAGAAAACCAGCTGTTGAAAAGAAACATCTGCAGGAAAGCCCACATCTGGTTCCTCCACCTCCGTTTCCTGTTAGCTGTGTGGACGAGTCAGAGCTTCACTTCCTGTTTGGTTGTGCGCTCACCTGGTGACGGCGTGGTTCTGCCCCGGCTCGATCAGGTGGGAGAAGTAGTCCTCCACCACAGAAGAAGTCAGGCGCTGCTTCAGGTATGGGAAGTAAAGAGGGTGACGAGCGATCACTCCTACAGAGACGGGAGGAAATGGAACTTTACTTTGGTAAAAAGACGACTTCCTGTACAGAGTCAGTTTCAAAAGAAGTTCAACTAGAAACCAGAGTTCAGTCCAGGTGTCAATCAAACTCCACTTCCTGTAACCAGGGTCCTCAGATGCCAAAATAAAAGTATCAATCTGAAGAATGGCTTAAAAATAACTTTCCATGAATTTTATTTTTATTACACTTTTCAGAGTTTGATTTTTCAAAAAAAAAAAAAAAGTTCTGAATGTCAAAAAATAAAAATAAACGTGAATACAGTTTAAAACACGGAATTAGAACAAAAACAATAATCTGAAAAAAGTAATTTAAACTCAGAAACATTAAACAGATTTGGAGAAAGTGCCTTCTTGCTGTAAGGCAACAGTGCTAACCACTGTTCCACCGTGCTGCATGTATTCATTCAACCTTTATTGAGACAGGTTAGTCCCATTGAGCCTCGAGGACTCATTTACAAGAGAGACCTGATTTTAACAAAGAATGATGACAACAATGGACAACAGCAACAACAATAGACAGTTATAAAAAGGCATACAGATTATTATTATTTTTTTTACAAATAGGATGCCAAAAAAAGTAACAAAAACAGCTAGTTCTATTTCGTATAGGCTTCGCCCTTTAAGGCTGTCGCTGGTGGGTTTTAACCCATCATGCAACGCATCACACTGAAAAGTTTAGTCCACGCCCACCTGTTGTGTGGGCCCCACCCAATCCGTATAAATTTCGTTAAGAGCGGGTAATCGGCTCCCATTTTTCTTCAGCAAACGACTAGCACTGACCTTCAACATCGAGATGTCCAGCACCAACACCATTCGCCTGTGTCCGCCCTGCAAGTCCAGCTACTTGCTGAGCTTCGACCGGCACAACACCTGCGAAGGATGCCTGGGTCCCCGCCACGCCGCGCTTGTCTCCTCCTGCCACCTCTGTGACCTCCTCCATCCGGAGGAAAGGCAGAGGAGAGCAGCCTTGTTCAAGGCTAATGTCGAGGAATGCCTCTCCGTGGCAGGAGATTGTTCGCTGGATGATGCCATCGACTTTTTTGATGCCTGCTCTCAGAGCGAATCGGATGGTTCCTCCGGGACAGGCGACATCAGCAGCAGCCCCGTTGCTCACTCCCTCCCGGAGAGCGTAGTGTCGGAACGAGGGGGGACGAGCAGATGCTCACCCCCCCGGGCCTTTCCGCCTCAACGGCCACACCGCTCCCTGCCGTCGGTGCCCTCCTTTCAGAGCTGCCTGGCATAATCTGGGAGGTTGCTGACACGAAGGGACTTTCTTTCTGTCCCTCTCCTCCCCCCGCCCAGATCGGATGATCTAGCGGGAAGGTTTGGCTCCACCCCGGCTCGCCGTCATGATCCCATCTGGCCTCGTTTCCCAGCAGTGACGTCCTACTGGAACGAGGCTGCAGCCGGACCTGGTAAATTGAGAGCGCCCGTCTCCACTTTCGCTCCCATCACCAGAGTGGAGGGGTTTACCAAGCGGAACTTTCCCTCGGTACACCCCCAGAGCCGAGCCTGGCGGAAGCTTTCGGAGCAAAGTTGTCTAGGTTGGACCAACGTCCTGTCCCTCCCGGGAAGCATGACCAGACGGTGACATCGCCCTCCAATCGAGCTCACCAGAGTGTTATACGGACCGGGTGGGGCCCACACAGCAGGTGGGCGTGGACTAAACTTTTCAGTGTGATGCCTTGCATGACGGGGTAAAACCCACCAGCGACAGCCTTAAAGGGCTACGCCTATACTCATAGAATCTTGGGTTACAGTACGTAACCAACGGTTCTAAGGCGAATGTAGAAAACTAAAAACAGGAACATGTCTGCATTGGACCCTGCCAGGAGTCTGACAGATTCTTAAAGACACTTAGAGAGGTCAAGGTCGAGAGCTTCAGATCTTTTTACAAGATATTCCAGGAAACAGGAGTGGAGTAGGAGAAGGTCCTTTTGTCTAGTTCAGTCCTCACTGAGGGAACACTGCAGGTAATGATGTCCTGAGAGCGCACGCTGTAGCTGCACTCACACAGAGACATGTAGGAGGAGATGTATGAAGGCAGCAGACCAGGAAGAGATTTAAAGATGAAAATGTACCAGTGGAAGAGTCTGTGTGAAGTTAATGGTGACCAGTTAACCAGTGAATACTGGGTGCAGTGGTGGGTACGATAATCACAGCCAGTTATGAATCTTAGTGCTCCACGATAGACAGCATACAACATCTGCAGCATCCAACATCTGCAGCATCCAACATCTGCAGGGTTCTTGTAGGAGCGTTCATGTAAATAATGTCACCGTAATCAATGGAGGGAAGGAAAGTCACAGATACAAGGTGTTTCCTAACATTCAGGGTTAGACAGGATCTGTTTCTGAAAAAGAAACCCAGTTTAACTTTCAGTTTCTTTACCAAGTTTTCCACATGGAGCTTAAAAGAGAGATGTGAGTCGACCAAGATACTCAAATATTTATAGGAATCAACAAACTCAATGGGTATCTAGCACAGGGTTGTCAAACTCAGTTACAAAAGGGGCCGAAATTAAAACCTTTTTCAAACTAAGGGCCAGTTTCAGAATCTACATTAGATACTCAACATCTTTTAATGGTTGCAGGTTCCTCAACAAGAAGACTGGTCTCACTTGACGTTACCTGCTGCACTTTTGACATCATAATCAAAAATGACTGAAAAAAAAATAAAGTGATAAAAGTATTTTACATTTAACATCTTCTTGGGGGCCAGATAATGTCCAGGTTTGTTCATGTTCGTGCTGATGTTCGACGTAATGTTGTTATGTTATGAGTGCTTAGTGTATATTTAGTTGATGTTTTTCTTAGTTCATATCTTAGATGTTATTACTGTTTTTCTTATACATTTTATTGTTGGATGTAACTGGGACCCTGTGGACATAATTTCGCTCCACCACATGTACCACATGAGGTGCGAATGACAATAAAGAATCTCTGACTCTGATAAGATGTCAACGAGGGCCACATTTGGCCCCCGAGCCTTGAGTTTGACACAAGTGATCTAGCAGATTGTCCTGTGAATAAATAATAAACTGATATAATTACAGGTCAGCGTTTGGCTGTTTCTGACACAAAAGGATCACATGTTGGGTTTGGATCACAGGTTTTCCTCACCGATGTTTGCAGAGTCTCCTTTGTCCCCGCTCCTCGTGTAGGCCAAGTCCTGCAGTCTGTAGGTGTACGGTCCGCTGGGCAGGTCTGAACAGAACCAGACAAACGTAATGAAACACATCGTGCTCAGACTCTGTGGAAGACTCGAACCAACATCCACCTCCCAGTCGTAAAACGTTGGAGGTGTTCTTTCATCTACAGCGACAGCCTCTACAGGTTCCTGCGGGCTCTCAGGGAGACGCAGAGACTCGGTTACCACGTCCAAGAACTTCAGCAGACATTTTGGGACAAAAACCATCCAATCTTAAAGACTGGGACAATCAATAAGTCCCACCTGCAGCCCGCAGGAAGGTAACATAAAGTTCTCCCTGCATGACTTCAGGTTCAGACACTGTTTAAATATAAATATCAAAGAGTTGTGGGTACAAATATAAAACTCTAAAGATGTTTTAACATCGGCGTGTGTCTGAAACGTCCTCCAAGCGTTCAGTTTCCAGCCAGAGGCGGCCACCACTCCGGATCAGGACACGGACATGGGTCCACAGCTCTGCTCAGGGATCTGCAGAATCATGTGAGAAGAACTCTGGGTGACTAAACAGAGACGGGAACATCTTTATTTGTTGGCAGGTAAAGGAAAAGTAGGTCAGCAGTCTCTCCAGGAGCCCTTGAAATGTTTGGATCAGTTTCCTGCTTGTGACATCTGGGATCCATTAAAGCCTGAAAACATTTACACAGAGTCATCTGACCATAAACCATGTCTGCAACAACCACAAGAACTCTAAGCACCCTCTGAAAGCCTCAAACATCCTGAGCAACCAGCAGCCCACAGAATCCTTGGAATCTTCCACAGGACCCTTTGAGAACCCTTAATGGCACGTTGCCCCAGTCTCTACACCCATCGGTTCCACAACACTCCAGTTAAGGGCCTGCCAGTACCAGCCCCACTCAGCACCGTTCATGGGACCACCTTGTTCCTGGATCCAAGCGGCCTGTTAAAGGTGATGATTCTGACATAAGCAGACAGCAGCTGATGACTGAGCAGAGGAGCTACGTCACTGGATGAACCGCCCAGCAGGACTGTCAACTGCATCCAAACCTCCACTTCTTGTCTGATCGTGCATTCACTTCCTGTCTGATCGTGCCTCCATTTCCTGCCTGATCGCGCATCCACTTCCTGCCTGACCGTGCCTCCACTTCCAGTCCGATCGTGCCTCCACTTCCTGCCTGATCATGCCTCCACTTCCTGTCTGATTGAGCCTCCACTTCTTGCCTGATTGTGCCTCCACTTCCTGTTCGATCGTGCCTTCACTTCCTGTCCGATCGTGCCTCCACTTCCTGTCCGATCGTGCCTCCACTTCCTGTTCGAACGAGCCTCAACTTCCTGTTCGATCGTGCCTCCACTTCCTGTCTGATCGTGCCTCCACTTCTTGCCTGATCGTGCCTCCACTTCTTGCCTGATCGTGCCTCAACTTCCTGCCTGATCGTGCCTCCACTTCCTGTCTGATCGTGCCTCCACTTCCTGTCTGATCGTGCCTCCACTTCCTGCCTGATCGTGCCTTCACTTCCTGTCTGATCATGCCTTCACTTCCTGCCTGATCGTGCCTCCACTTCCTGCCTGATCGTGCCTCCATTTCCTGCCTGATCGTGCCTCCACTTCCTGTTCGAAC